ACATCTACACAGCCTGATATTCTTGCCTTTGCTGTGTCTGCCTGGAACACTCCCACCATCCCACGTTCACCTCCTGATATCCTCCCAGTTTTCCAGGAAAGATAAATCCCACCTTCTCCATGAAACCTTCCCTAGTCCCTCAACCAGACATTCCCTCGCCTGTCTGTGACCTTCACACCATTGTGTCTATCTTCTTTTTTGGTCATTAGTATATTTCCATCTGTACTCATCCTGTCTCCCTCAGTGGACTACAAGCTCTACGAGGGAAAATCATGGCTGACTCATCTTCCAATCTGCCATAGCTTGGAGTGCAGCAGCTTTTACAGAATAAACACTCACTGAATTAAATGATGACAACATAACCTTCTAGTGATCAAAATTCTCTGACTTCCAATGACCTCTGTTTTTTAAATTTTATTTTAGTTGAAAGATAATTGCTTTACAATATTGCATTGGTTTCTGCCATACATCAACATGAATCACTCATAGGTACACCTATGTCCCCACTCTCTTGAACTTCCCTCCCACCTCCCACCCTTCTAGGTTGTTCCAGAGCCCCAGTTTGAGTTCCCCGAGTCATACAGTAAATTCCCATTGGCTAGCTATTTAACATGAGGTCAGATATATTGTCAATGCTGCTCTCTCCATTCATCCCACCCTCTCCTTCCCCAACTGTGTTCACAAGTCCATCCTCTATGTCTGCATCTCCATTACTGCCATGCAAATAGATTCAACAGTACCATCTTTCTAGATTCCATATAAATGCATAAATATACGTTATTTTTTCTCTTTCGGACTTACTTCAATCTGTATAATAGGCTCTAGGTTCATCCACCTCATTAGAACTGATTCAAATGTGTTCCTTTCATAGCTGAGTAATATCCCATTGTGTATATGTACCACAGCTTCTTTATCCATTCATCTGCTGATGGACATCTAGGTTGCTTCCATGTCCTAGCTATTGTACATAGTGATGCAATGAATACTGGGGTACATGTGTCTTTTTCAATTTTGGTTTCCTCAGGGTATAAACCTAGTAGTGGGATTGCTGGGTCATATGGTAGCTTTATTCCTAGGTTTTTAAGGAAGTTCCATACTGTCTTCTATAGTGGCTGTATCAATTTACATTCCCACCAATAGCGCAAGAGGGTCAGTGGCCTCTTCAAATGAATGCATCACCTCAGAGTAACAATTTGACTTAGTTAGGATTATAAATATATTCTACTCCAATACAAACAAAAGTCTAGCAGAGCAAGTCTGTCATGTGAAAGTGAAAAGTGAAAGTGTCAGTCACTCAGTCATGTCTGACTCTTTGTGGCCCCATGGACTGTAGCCCACCAGGTTCCTCTGTCCATGCAATTCTCCCGACAAGACTACTGATATGGGCAACCATTCACTTCTCCAGGGGATCTTCCAAACTCAGGGATCAAACTCACATCTCCTGCATTGGCAGGCAGATTCTTTACCATCTGAGCCACCAGGGAAGCCACATAAGTCTGTCATGCTTTATGCTACGTAATAATGCTAAGCAATTAAGCTTATAAGTTAAAAGTGAACACAAAAACAAAAATTTTCTTATGATTAACTGCCACCAAAAATTTTCCACTTAAGAATAAGAAGATAACCAGTTAAATTTGGAAGGCTTTTAAAATACCAGACCCCAAGCCTCAGAAAAATTGATCCACTTAAATATTTTAACTGTTTGTTTTTATGGTAAGAAGTTGAAGCCATCAGTGCTAATCTCTTTATGGGAAGGTGATGCAGATCCACTAAAAACTCTTACTTTCTCCTCTGTGGTTGTTTTAAAACAGTTTTATTCCTGCATAATTTATAATAAGAACCTAGAAACACTGAGTCAGATTTTCCCCATGTCTATCATTAAAATGTGGAGGCAGTGGGTAGAAAGTCAAGTGCATTCTCTTCTTGCATTCTCTGCAATAAAGCTTCTCAAAGAGCACTATTCTATATGGTCTAAATCATTTTTGATTTTAGGAACTAAAAGACACCAATCTAGCCACTCTTTATACCTTCTCTTTAAAGAAGCTAATATTGATGTATGAATTTCAAATATAAAGAATAAAAGGAAACTTTACTCCAAAAAACAGGACAAGAAAAAAGATCTGGGAATCATACTGCAGTTTAACTCAAAATGAAATCTTAGCAATCAATCTTTCATTCAAGATCTAAATAGTAACAGACATGAGTAAAAACAAAAAAATCCTAAAAAAAAAAAATCCTGGAAAAAAAGAAGTTATACATGAAAAAAATTGTGTTATAATTTATATATGTCAGTTCATCAAGTGTAAAATTGCAAAGTGTGTATTAAATAGATATTTAAAAAATTTTTTAAAAGACCTAAATAGTGTATCTCAGCTTTGTAATACAAATTTTGTCCATAGTAGAATGATTCTCAGAGATGTAATTGATTTTTTGAAAATCAGATGAAATATTTGACTGTCATTTCCTATAGGTGATAGGTATTGGAAATAAAATGTGCAAAAGATATATATAATTTTAAATACTGTATTTGAACATTATTCCAATATCATCAACATCACTTGAATAATTTTCAGCAGAACATTGTCACTTTATAATCCCATTTAAACAGGATTCCTTTCTAACAAGAGAACATGTTTCTGGAAGTGCCAGTCTAGATACAATTAGAGAGTCCAGTGCAAGTAGAAGTAAATAAACCAGCTCTGTGCCCTAACCAGGAAGGTTCACTGCCAAAGATCACTCATCGCAATTAAGGCATAGAGTAAAAAAGTTGGAAATTAATCAGAAACATCTACAAGAAAGTCAGAATACAAATGGAGTTTATAAACCAACTACCCATCACTGTCATTTCTTCCTCTAGAAGAAAATACCTTGAACCATTACATTGAATACAGAAAAGATGGAGAACACTCCCTAGCAGTACAAGAAGACATTTAACATAATAGTAGATAGATTCAATTCTTTAAAATAATTTTGAAATCCCATGACAGCTTTTATCACTTGTGAATCTGCCTGCCAAAGTGAGCTTTGCCCCAGAAGGAGGTCCTGAGTCAAGGATCCAAGTCCAAGTCATTTATTTGGGGGGTTTGAGAAGCACTGGATGGGGAGTACAGATGTGATGCACAGGAGAAAGGGCAGCTTACAACGGATTGTCTCACCATGAGGGGAAAGAGCTGGGAAGCTTACCAGCCATTGATTAAGACTGCTTTTAGGGGTGGGAGGCCAGAGTGTTAATTCCTTGGCACCTGAAGCCTGCCTCAAGCAGGAGCCAAGCAGTCTCCCAGCCTAAGAGAAGACCTTCAGGCCAGGAAGACTCACAGACCTTCAGAAGGTCCTGGCCCTGGCAGTCCTCACCTTGAAAACGGGAAGCACCCAGAGTACAGCTGGCTCATTGAAAGCACTGTCCACCCAGCCTCCTCCAAAGAACTCCCTTCCCATCAACAGTTGCATCTGCTACTGGTGTTTCGTATCAGTCTTCTCTCTCCCTTTTCTCTGCTATCCAACAGAGCATGTATTTCACATTCTAGCCATCTACCTCTAAGCCATAAAACATACAGCTTCAGCTCTAGCCTTTATGTCTCCTCTGGCATCAACTTTATATTCTCCTTAAATTAAGGCCCTTAGTCTATTTCTATGTTGTAAATTCTCTAACGTCAACTTTGTTCTCAACTGAGTTGTTGTTTTTTTTTAAATCACTCCTTTATTATGGCCCATCGTATGTCCATGGAAAATGGTGAACTGGTCCATGGGGTGAGAGCTCAGGCTCTACTCCACTACCATCCAGAGAATCTTTTATATTATGAGAACAGAGGGGGTAATTTTGGCAGTTCCAAAAGTTAACATCATCCCAAAATAATGGGGAGGCAATGGGGAAGGTAAATCTAAAACTTAACATTTCCAGTATTAAGAAGCATTTCCAATGAAATGTCACTTCACTGCTTTGAACAAAATAGTCTTTAAAAATAATCCAATCTAACCATGCTTAGGCTGCAGGCACAGTTCCATAATATGTTAGTAACTTCCCTCTAGGCTCTGTGCACGTAGTCAAAATGAAATGAGAAGGCTCTGTGCACGTAGTCAAAATGAGATGAGAAAGGGCCTGAATGAATTTTACCTAAAACAACCTTAACTGATGCAACCACTTGATTTATATTATGCTTCCTAATTTTAAAAAATTTAATTCAGAGAACTCAGGAAATAGGCAGGAACTAATGGGAATGTGGCATTATAGGTTTCCTGGATTAAAGGGATTTATTGTCACTCAAGAGAGGTATTGACTATGGAACAAAAATGGCCTGGTAAAGATTAAGTTGTTTAGATTTGAGATTGCCTAATCTGGATTTAACAAAGTGACTGTTTTTAAGAGAAATAAAATGAAAAAAACAGACCAGTACCATCACTGAAAACTCTCTGGATGTTTTTCTGCTGTTTTGAGACCCATGACCTGGGTGTCCTTCTCCATGGTCACTTAGAAGCTTTGACTGAGTCACTGCTGAATGAGATCCCTTCCTAGGGGTGAGTTTTGTATTTCTATAAGGATCAGGACACACTACCAAACCCATGGTTCCTGGAGACAAACCATCCATTGTGTGAGGCAACGATTATTTTAAAAATCAGACATCTCTCATTCCAATATGCAGTCTTCACCTTTAGAATTTAATCAGTGCTTCTCAAACTATCTGTGAGGAAGGACCATTTTTAGATTATGTCCAGTCTATTGTTACTGATACTTTTGCAAGATGTATCAGAGAGTAATCATTAGAAAATGAATTTTGTAAAACATACAAAATGTGAGCCCAGTTTATTACTGTTGTCATTAGAGTCGACAGACAAAATTATTCCATTGAAATTTTTTTTTAAGTTTTCAACAGTGACTCTCAACGTCAGCCCTTATCCTGTCACAGACCAGTAACTGCCATTAGACGGCAGGGGCCGGGGACCACACTTTGAGTAGCACTGATACGAAGCACCATGCACGTACTTATTCAAAAGGTATACTTTACCTCTGACATCCTTCCCAAATCCTATAGAAGAAACTGTTTTGTCCACTTGTTCACAACTGTCTGGTTTCTCCTTCATAACGTCATCATCACCAGAAGCATCCGCGGAATATTTTTTCTTTCTCTTTTTCTTGTGTCGAGGCGGAAGCTTTTTTGGAAAAGTAAACATTGGGAATATCACAAGAAACATTGCAATGGCACAAAGGAGGAATCCACTCCACCTAAAAAATTGGGAGATGTGAACAGCATTTGTGGCTTTTATATTATGAGTGAGAACAAGTTAGCAAAGTAGAAATGTGGGATGACAAATTTCTCCAGAGAATACTTTTTACCTTCATGAGGTGTACGGCACTAAGAAGTCAGACAACCTAAGAAAATACAAGAATCCTCCCTTTCTGTGGTATAAATGAGAACTCTTCTCAGTAATCATATTAGTATTACATGAATATCAGAATCACCAGCCTGACTAGAATTTCATTCAAGTATTTTTGAGCACACATGTGTTAGTTCTGCTAATGAACACTGTTAGTCCTACTACAATGTGCATTTTCTAATAAATCAATAGCCCATAAGGGCTTCCCAGGTGGCACAGTGATAAAGAATCCTCCTGCCAATGCAGGAGACACAGGTTCAACCCTTAGGTCATGAAGATTCCCCTGGAGGAGAAAACGGCAACCCACTCCAGTACTCTTGCCTGGAAAATGCCATGGACAGAGGAGCCTGATGGGCTTACAGTCCAGAAAGTCAAAAAGAAATGGACATGACTGAACATGCACAGGGTGTGTGTGTGCATGTGTGTGTGTGTGTGTCAGAACTGAGTCAATACCCCATAAATTTAATAGAAAAATAATATAGAGTCTACATCATGCTTTATGGATCAATATAGACACTGTGAGATTTAAGGGACTAGATCTGATAGAGTACCTGAGGAACTATGGATGGAGAGTCGTGACACTGTACAGGAGACAGGAATCAAGACCATCCCCAAGAAAAAGAAACGCAAAAAAAAAGGCTGTCTGAGGAGGCCTTACAAATAGCTGTGAAAAGAAGGAAAGTGAAAAGCAAAGGAGAAAAGGAGAGATATACCCATTTGAATGCAGAGTTCCAAGGAATAGTAAGGAGAGAGAAGATAAAACTCCTAGAGGAGAACATGGGCAAAACACTCTCTGACATAAATCACAGCAGGATCCTCTATGACCCACATCCCAGAATATTGGAAATAAAAGCAAAAATAAACAAATGGGACCTAATGAAACTTAAAAGCTTTTGCACAACAAAGGAAACTATAAGCAAGGTGAAAAGACAGCCCTCAGA